GAGGACACCACCTGTGGGGGCCTGGCCATTGCCTCACCGGGCACAGCCCCGCTCCCTCCCTCCCTCGTTCACGCACTCATTCACTCCTTCACTCACTCGCTCACTCACTGCCTCTCATCCCACCCACTGTCTGCAAGAGGCCTGACTCCTCACCTTACTCCCTGCCCTAGAGCCAGGGGGCCTGAGGGAGGCCTTTGGTGCCCGCAATCCCATTCATCCATTCACTCTACGAACACCTGTGTACTGTCCAGATTGCTGGGTGCCCAGCACCAGGTTTGGAACAAGGGATGTTTCTCCGAGGAGTCCGGCCACTCTGGAAGCCTTATGGAAGTGAGGGCCACTGTGTGCCTCGGGGGCCTAGCTGGTGGTTCAGAGGCCAGAGTGCAGTGTCCGCCTCACCACAGGGCAGCCCAGAAAATCACTGGACTGGACAAGGCCTGGACTGGGGAGGGAGGGCCTGGGCTCTGCTGTAGACCCGTCTCGCAGCCCCACGCCGGCTTGTTCAGACCCTCAGTGGCGATGGTGCTAGCCCCGTACCCTCCCTGGGCCCGGGCCCGGCCGTTCACAAGCTGGAGAGGGCCTGGGCCATGCACAAGGGTCTAAAGGATGGAGGGACACCGTGAAAGGGGAAGATCAGCGCCCCCCAAGACTTGGCAGGGCACAAAAGGGGGTGGCCCCTCGACTCCCACAGTGGTGTGGAGGGGAGGGGCCGGTCTGGATCGCTCTGAGGACACGGTCACTGCTCAGCCAGCCTCAGACTGGCTCAGCAATGCCCCCTGCGGGCCGCTGGACTCAATGGCTTCTGCGCAGCCCCAGCAGTCTGGGTCAGGGCGCGTGGGGGTCGGAGTACCTGGGTGGGGTCAGGAGAGCTGGGGCTGGGCCAGGGCTGGGGGTAGTACAGGCCGCCTGGGGTCTGGGGTCTGGGGAGTGGAGGCCGCTCGGGGCCAGGGCCAGGATGTGCATGCCTGTCCCCACACGCACAGCCCCTGCAGGCGCAGGCGTGCGCCCCCTCACGACACACACCACACAGCCCCGGAGGATGGCTTCAGCTGAGTGAGGACGCTCCTCCTCTGGCCTGGTCCTGCCCAGAGGGGCCAGCTGTTCCACAGTGTGCCCCCACTTCCTGAGTGTGTGGTGGTCTGCTGGGCCCTCTGTCTAGGACCCCTGGGAGGACACAGGAGCATGAACCCAGGCACCGGGGCAGCCCAAGGGGTCAGTGAGGGAGCGCAGAGTCTGGGCCTGCATGCCGGGTCACCGAGGCACGCACGGCACAGATGCCCCCGGGGAAGGACCCACGGATGGGATGGCAGTGCCAGAAAAGACTTCCAGGCACCTGCTTGGCCTGGCAGCAACTCCCGTTGGCTTGGACCATGAGGGACTGATGTGGGTCTGGGGTCCAGCCTGGGCTGGGGCAGTTGTGAGGGGAGGCAGCTCTGGGTTCCAGGGAAACTGGGGGTGACCTGCAGGGGGGAGGGCCGGTATTGGATGGGGGCCTGGAGAGTGGGCTCGGCAAGGGGTCCCATTTTGGCCAGTCTCCCTGCATTCCCGTCCCTGTCAGGAGCTTGGCCACAGAGAGCCATAACCGAGACATGAGGATGCTACTGGCACCCCTCCGCCCACTGAGAGGGCCAAAAGCAGCCCAGGGTGGCCCGAGATGGACCCTCTGAGAGGGGTGGGGGGCAGTGAGGCCCCATTGGCCCGGCCTTCTCCGGGTGGGATGCCAGCTCAGGGTGGGGGTGGTCACAGCTGCAGGGGGACAGTGGGCAGTGGGTGGCCTTGGGCCAGGCAGCCCTAGTCATGTCGACGCAGGCTGCTGTGACAAAGTACCGCAGCCTGGGCCTTAAACAACAGACATTTATTTTCTCACAGTCCTGGAGGAAGTCTGAGCTCAGGGTGGAGACCAGCTTGCTTCAGGGTGAGGGCCCGCTCCTGGCCTGCAGACGGCCGCCTTCTTGCTGGGCCCTCACAGTGGAGGCAGAGGAGGTCTGTTCTCTTCCTTTTCCTGTAAGGACATTAACTCCATCATGGGGACCCCACACTCACGACCCCATCCAACCCTAATCACCTCCCAAAGGCCCCACCTCCTGATAGCATCACCCTGGGGCTAGGGTTTCAGCACGTGAATTTTGGGGGGACACACATCTGTTCTGTAACAGTAAGAAGCCAGGTTCCCGCCGTGCCATGGGGAGGGTTCAGTGTCTGGGAGGCAGCCTCTGGGAGGCTTGGTCCACGAGGCCTCTGCTGCCGCCATTCCCATCATTCTCCCTGCTCAGCTAAGAGGACGAGGAGATGGCCCCAGGACAGCTCTGTTTCCCCACGTCCCCATCCTGGTAGGAGGTCCCCTGGCTTGGTGGTGACGATGTGCAGGGAGCCCAGGGGTGCGGAAGACTAGGCCTGCGGCTGCATGCCCAGCTCAGGTCGTGTTTACCCTTGGAAGGCCAGTGCCAGGGCCCCCACCCGGCCGCGTGGCCCCAAGTTAACTTGGGCTCCAGGATAAACACCCATTCAGCCGCACAAGGCCCCTTTGTCCAGAGAGAGGCTCCCGGCCCAGGATGCTGCCCGGCGGCCTGTGTCCTCAGTATGGCCGGCCGCCCCTCGTGGCCTCTGGGCAGACTCCTGGCCTGGCTCAGAGAGGCCCCGGCTGGGGACAGGGCCCCAGGCAGCTCTTGGAGTGGCCAGAGAGGCCAGGCTGAGCCAGGTGAGGAGGGTGCCTCTCCAGGCCCCTCCAGAGCAGCCCGGAGCCTGCAAGGAGAAGCGGGGGCACACCTGCAGGGAGCTGAGGACACCACCGCCCCGAGCCGCAGAGCAGCTGGTCAGCTTGGAGGCGGCAGCCCTCGCCCGTCTGCCCAGGCAGGAGAGGGGTGCCCACACCCTGTGCCCTGCAGGGCCTCCCCAGCCGTTAGTCGCTGGTCCCTGCGGCCTTAGTTTCCCCACCTGTGAAGTGGGCCTCAGCAGGACTTTGAGGTCCCTCAGCTCCTGAGCTCCTCCTGGGTGGGAGTGATGTGTAGGGTACCCATCCAAGGGCTGAAAGGGGGTCGGTCCCTGTGCAGGGGAGGGGGTGAGAGAGACTCTTGTCCAGGGACAGGGGTGGGGCTGACATTGGCGTGGGAGCCGGGAGCGGGGCACCAGGTTTGGGGCAGGCTTGGGGTCTGCACAGTGAGGGCAGGAGCCTGCATCACTCCAGGGAGGGGGTCCAGCGTGATGAGGAATCCCAGACCCCTGGCCAGTGGCCAGCCTGCCTGCCAGGAGGAGACTGAGGGTGGCCTCTGCGTAGGCCTTCAGGGCCACCAGCCTCCTTCCTAAAGAGGGCCCATGGCCTGGGGCTGGCCTGGTGGGAGGTTCTGGCCCAGCCCAGGGGCTTGGCCCTTACACTGGGAGCTGGTAGCCATGGCAGGTTCTTGAGCACAGGAGGGACATGCTTGACTTTGGTTGTTGTAAAATGACTGTGGCAGCTGTACCGATGGGGGCTGGAGCCTGGGCAGAGTGGCCCCCTGGGCTCCCGCCCGGCCTTTAGTCCCTCTGAACGCACTGAGGACAAACGCGCTGTGTGCCTGTCGGGGCCCATGGTGTGGGGGTTGCTCCCCAGTGAGGCTGCCACCAGGTTCCAGTCCATGCTGTGGCCCGTGGCCAGCAGCGACCCCTGGTGGCGGCCGGCCTGTGGCTGCGGCCCACCTGGGAGTCCATCCTGGGGAGAAGATGGGTCCTGGGGAGGTCCGGGCTGGGGCCTTCGCCTGAGGCATGCTCAGAGGTCTTCTAACCAGGCAGGCCTCGGCCTGGGTCCCTGTGTGGGGACCCCCCCCCGTGGCTGATGAGAGGAAGTGTCCTTTGCTGGTGGTTCTTCCGTAGGTCTGGTGCTTTCTCGCCCATGTCCTTTGTCCGCTTGACGATGGTGAGGTCTGGGCCGGCAGCACCAGCACCATCGGGAATGGGCTGGGAACGCAGAACCTCAGGCTGCCCTCCTCCTGGTTCCGGGGGCCGCGGTGTGAGGACATGGCTCTAGGTCTCAGTTTCAGAGACGAGTGTCCGACCAGCTCTCTGCCGGCCCGTGCCCAGGGTCCCCTGATGCCCTGTGGGCCAGGACCCTGCCCAGTTCAGAAGGACTTCTGGGGGCTGCCGTACACCCTCCGTGCCTGTCCCTGGAGTTCACCTCCAAGTGCCTCCCCAGCCCCATCCCCTGTATCACAGGGTCACTGAGCAAGGCACCAGGACAAGGGCAGTGCTCTGGCCCGTGTCCAAGGGTCCAGCAAGTGTGTGACGCGCCCCTCCGCTGGAGTGGGCCCTGGGGGACCAGAGATGCAGCCACGGGGGCCGGGGGCGTGGACTTGGAAACCCTACTCAGGCCTTATTTCTTACTTGAGGTTTTAGAGGCAGAGCATTTTTCAGGAGCTACAAAAGTCTGTCCTAGACCGAGAAGCAGCCCGTAGGTTGCCTGACGCCACCTTCTCAGACTCCCTCACTGAACTGGCTCAGGAGACTGTGGGTCTGCAGCCTGGAAACCCAGCGGGAGCTGCTAGTCAGGAGATGGAGCCCCTTCTTCCTTGGGAACGGTCTCTGGGGACAGGAGGCCCTCCCTGCTGTCAAGACAGCTCGGAACTACCAACCACAGGTGTGATCTCGGCACGGCTACGAGACGCACCAGCGACACCTCAGTGACTGTTCGATTAATGGGGCCGAGGCCTTGCCAAGTGACACAAAGCCAGCCCTCACCGTGGCTGGTTGTTCGCTTCCTCACATTAAAACTTTGGTCTGTTTGGATTTTGATCTGCGGTCATGAGGCAGAGATACCACGCCCCAGGACCACTCGGCTGCCGGGGCAGACTTGGGCCCACCTCGTCGTCCCTAGGGCGGGCTGCCCGCCCACATGCCTGCCTGCGCCCGCCGAGCGGCTCCGGAGGAGGTACGGGGCAGGGGCAGGCTGACGGCGCAGAGTGGATGGCAGCCTGGGCGGCTCAGCCTCGGTCGGGCCAGAGCCAGAAACTTTCACTTCAGTCAAGACCAGGAGACTTAAGGGAAACTTTATTTAGTCTTCTTCCTAAAGCAACCTAGTTTAAAAACGAGTTGAGGTTAATAGAAAAGAAAAAAGAGTCAGACAGACACACACACAGACAGGAGAGCCGGGCACCGGTCAGGACCTCCCCATCAGATTTTCTCCATCTTGGAAATGAGGTCGTCACAGATCCTGGTCAGTTCATCGTTTTCCTTCGTCTGGAGGAGGGAAGTCGAATCCTGAGAATTCTCACACAGTGCTCTGAGGAGTCGGGAGCAGCTCCAGGGCTTCTAGAACCAGGGGTCTGCTCCTCCCCGGCTCTGCCCAGACCCTGGGACCCCATGCCCACCTTCTGCTCCACGACCTTCTCCAGGGAGTGGACCCGCATCTGCTCCTTCCTCAGGACCGCCTGCAGCGCCAGAGCCTCCGCCTGGGCCTTGCTGCGGACCTGCGCGATCTCCTCGTTGGCCCTGGAGCAGCGGAGGGCAGGGCTGAGCCCCGACTCGGGGCCTCCTCCAGCCCCGCCCCCAGCCCCAGGCTGCACCACTCACAGCTGGAGCTTCTCCTCCGCGTGGGCCTTCAGCGCCTGGTACCTCTGGCTCTCCTTCTCGATCCTCCCTATGTAGCCCTCCACACATTGCTTCAGGGACTCTTCGTTCTTTAAGGAAGAGTGATGTGAACTCTGACTGATGGCATGCTGCTGTCTGACCGCATTCAGGAGCGGCCTGGGGGACCCCCCAGGTCAGGTGGGGGCGGTTCCCCAGCGCCGGCTCTCTGGTCGTTCGTGAAATAGCAGTGGACGAGGCCACGTGGGAGAAGCACTCCCCATTTCCTTCTAAGGACGGTCTACCACACACACAGCCCCAGGCCTCCCCATCCTGGGGTTCAGGAGGGTCCTCAGACACTGGGCCTCATCCTCTGACACCCACGGGCCTCCTGTCCGTCCCTCAGCCTGCCTGGCACACAGAGCCCACCTGTACGGCCCCTACTCTCCTGCCTCCCCTCCCAGCCCTGGGCTATGGGGGCCGGGTCTCCCAACTGGCCCAGGATGGGTGAAGACAGCAGTGGGGACTGGACATGGCGATCTCTGCAAGGGGACAACCTTGCAGGCATGCACGTGAGGTTGTAGATGACAAAAACGACAGCCAGGGCTGGAACCTGGGGCCCCCACATCACCCTGCTTCCCAGATGCAACCCGAAGGCTCAGCTCCCCGCTGCAGCCTCCAGGCCCCGCCAGCACTTGTCGCCTTGCCTCACTGGAGACAAGGCCAACGCCTGCTGGCCCTACAGCCTCGCACTGGCCCTGGCACCTACCGCACGGTAGCCTTCGATCACCTCCTTCTGTTTCTCAAATCGCTTGAAAAGATCAGAAAAAGACTTCTCCAGGGAGTGCAAGTCTGCAGTAAGCTGGTCCTTTTCCTTCAGAACCTTCTGGATCTCAACTCTGGCAAGTTCCTTCCGTTTCTGGGCCTCCTCTTCAGGAAAGAAAACCAGCACTTGGATGGGGGGCACCCATGGCAAGAGACCAGGGCGGGCGGCCGGAGGGCCCACTGGGGCGAGGTGACGGTCGCTCTCCTGTGAGCTTCCCAGGCAGGACCTAGGGGCCACAAGTGCCCAAGAAACAGCCATTCCCTCCCCCCAGCTCCACCCAGACCCAGAGGCAGTGGATAGTGAACCCAGGGCCCAACTTCAGAGGCCCTGGGAAGAGGTGGGGCCAAGGCGCTCAGAGCCCACAGCCACACCCACCCCAGCCTGGACACGCCCAGTGCCCGGCACCCAGTGGCTGAAGCTGGACAAGCAGCCACCTGGGGAGGGGGACACCGCAGTGCAGCACCTACGGGAGGGACCCTATCTTTCCTGGCCTTGGCCCCGGATGCCAGCTCAGGGGCTGGCCAATTTTGGGGTTGGTAAGTGCCAGTGGCCCAGAGCCACCAGGCCTCCCTGACCGCCAGCTGCTCCACTGCAGGGGGTGTGGGCATGTGGGCTTAGCTTGCAGGAGGGAGCTGCTACTGGGAAGAAAGGCCGTGGGCGCCCGGCACTCACCCATCGCTTGATACACGGTCCCCTCAAACCCATCCATGATCTTCCTGCGGGAGGAGAGCAGATGTGCCATGAGCGCTGTGGCAGGCGGGTGGGCAGGCGGGCACCCAGGTCCCAGCAGCCACTCAGGCCTCACCCCATCTCCAGGATCCTGGCGTGGAGCTCGGCGCACTGGCTCCTCAGCGCCTCGTTCTCCTTCTGTGTTGCTTCCACCTGCGCGGACCGTAGCTCTGAGTTGGTGCTGGGCACCCTCCCATGCCAGTACCTCCTGTCCCACTCAGCGATCACCGGACTAGGGGGCCTGCATGCGCTGGGTATATGGTGGGAACACCACGTGGTACAGACGTGGTGGGAGAACAGCCTGCAGAGGGCAGGCCCAGTGGCAGGGAGGATCCAGCTGCCGGCTGGGGCCTGGCATGCAGGCCTCCCTGAGAGGGAACAAGCTGGACACCGCCCAGGGCATCACCTAGGCAGCGAGGAGACTTGGGGGCTGAGGCCCAGCCCTGCCAGCTGTCCTGCTTTGCCACCCCTAGGGCAGCTCAGAGTGGTGCCCAACGAGGACATCCAGACCCTCAGCTAACTGGGTGACTGGTGGGGGTCCGTAAGTGGACACCAGGATTCCACGAGCAGCAGCACGAGGAAGACCAGAGCTCAGAGCCATCCACGGGGCTCTCCTCCGGGGCGGTGCCTGGGGGCCCGTCCTCCCGATCATCCTCACCACTGTGTCCAGGTCCCTCTGGCTGTACTGCAGCACGTCCACAATGGGCCCCACGGGCAACAGCGGGCCCCCGGGCCCGAGGTCACATGGAATCGGGCCAAGTGCCTGCGGGGTGATGGAGACAGGCTGGGCAGGTTCCACTGGTGCTCGTCTCCGCCGGTTTCCCAGACGGCACAGCTCGGCGCCCTGGCCCAGCCGACCTCCTGATGCCTTCCCCCAGGTCCCAGAACATAAATCCCACGCCCTTGGAACATGTGTCTCTTTACACCGCGTGGGGAACCAAGCACTTACGGGGACACCCGGGGCGCCGAGGAAGTCCAGTTCCACCAGCTTCGCCTCGGGGGGGCTTCCCGAGGAAGGCGTGTCCACGCCCTGTGCCCTGAGATCGAAACAGAACACACGTGTCGTTTACCTGCAGGGTGGGGTCAGCCCAGGTTCTCCCCGAAGGGCTGAGTGAGCGCCTCGGGATTTGTGGGCCACCCGGCCTGTCAGGCCTCTGGCTCGGCCGGTGTCTGATTCAGGTTCACACCTGCCAGCCCGCCTGTCGCCCGCAGACAGAGGAGAGGCACACCTGCTGGTCTCGGGGGCTGCGGGCACCGGTCTCCGAGGGCTGTCCTGCAGGAGCGGGTCGAACTTGAGGTACAAGGACTGCTTCCTCAGGGCTGACTCCTTAAACTGCTGCGGTAGGGGGAGCAGGTTCAGCGGCATCCCCGACATGCAGCGCCTGGGACAGGCCCAGGCAGATCATGGCCTGCGTGGCGCAGGAGGGGGACACGACTCCGCTGGGAGCAGCTGCAGGACAGGGGCCTGGAGACACCATCCCCACCGGCCAGCCCTGGGCGGACACAGACGCTGCCCGAGTTGAGGAAGCCTGGTGACTGCCGAGCAGGGCAGGGACTCAGGGCTGTTCCAGAAACAGCCCCTTTTTGAGACTCACACTTGAGGAAAGGCTGCCACGAGGTGCAGGATACTCACCGAGGAAGCCCCAAACTGCTCCAGGTAGTCCACTTCAACCCCCGTGCCTAGAACTGAGAGTAGCGGGTGGGTGCGTCACGGCCCGTGGGACTCAGGCTAGAGCTCTCCGGCGCAGGGCTCGGCAGCTCCCAAGCAGCCCCCGCCCCCGGCTCCCTTCCACGGCCCGGTCCGCCCTGGACAGACGGCCCTTTGCTGTAAGGCGGGGCTGCCGCCCTGCTCATGACGCTGGGGGCTGGGTGGTTTTGTTGGGCCACACACAAGGGCTGATAGACCCCCCAGGAGTAACGGCCAAGGGCACCCCTGGCTGAGCAGCAGTGTGCAGCCAGCCCGGAAGAGCCCTTTGTGCTCTGGTGCGACCTTTGTTTACAGATTCTAAAGGTGACTCGTGCCATAGACAGAAACTGACCCAAAATGGATCAAAGCCCCAAGTGTATGAGTTAAAACCACAGAATTCTTAGAAGAAAACACAAGGGCACACCCTCGTGACACCGGCTGTGACAGTGACTCATCAGGACTGACGCCAGACGCACAAGCAGCAAGGTGACAGCTTGGGCCTCCAAGGACACAGAGTGCAAAGGCAAGTTTTGCAGATCAGGTGCCTGACGAGGGGTCCCTACCCAGATTACACTAGAAATCTCTGCAACTTGGTCATATGGCAAATAACTCAGCGAAGAAATGGGAAAGGATCTGAGCATATGCTCCTCCAAAGGGGAGACTCAAAAGGTCAACACGCACGTGGACAAATGTGGCTCGTTGGTGAGGGACCGTGACATGCAGCCAGCACCGCGTGCAGGCGGGACGCAGTGCAGCTGGCCCTTGGTTGCTGCCCATGGAGGGGTAAGAGGTGCGGGCCTGTGGAGAACGGCTGGGCAGCTCCTCCCACAGTCAGCACAATGTGACCAGGTCCCTCTAGGTACATCTGCCCCAGAGAAGTGGGCCATGCACGGCCACACGTAAACATGTACGTGAGTGTTCCCAGCAGCCTTAGTCGTAACAGCGCAAAAGTGGAAACCATCCCGAAGTCCATCGACTAGTAAAAGAAGAAACGAGATGTAATTTCCACATGGTGGAATGTTGCTTAGCCATAAAAGGAGGTCCTGACCTGAAACGGACCTTGTTGTCCAGTGAAAGACACCAGACACAAAACCGCACATTGTGTGCCTCCAGGTCCCTGGCCTAGTGGAGCGTGTCCATGGCTTCTGGTCCCACCTATGTGCGGAGGGCCCCACGGCTGTCCTGCCAGAGAAGCCCTGCGTCCACATCCTGTCTCCACTGCACCTGTGGGCTCTTACGTAACCCAAACCAAGAGTGTCTCCAGTTGCCTTCTGTCTTGCGAAGCAGCTCAGTCACAAGCCCTCACTGAGCTCAGCTTAGACCCAGGGCTCTTCCAGCCCTCCTGTCATCTCTGTGGGGTCCTGTTTCAAACAGCATGTCCCCCAGAACAGTGAGGCCCCAGCTGCCTCCGGACTGCACTCGAGCTGTCTAAGCCAGGGCTTCTGCCCAGTTTTCTGAGCCTAAGATTTTTTTTATGTCACAGGCATCAGCCCTGTTCTCCTGAAAATGCCTATCTTTTGATAAACCAGAAGTTTCTGCTTGAATCACTGAAGTCAGGGAACAGAGCTGCCTGCAGGACAATGGCAGCAGGTGCCACTGAACATGTGCTCGTGAAATGTTCCGAGCAACCTGGCTGTGAGGACAGACAGCGACGTACCCTCAGTGGGGTCTCGGAAGTGCTCCCCAGTCAGGTCCAAGGCGGGCTCCAGGCCCTGAGGAGCAGGGGGCGTGGGGTCAGCAGGTGCGGTCACTGGCTCAGTGCTCGGGCTGCTAGTGGGAGCTGGTGCACCCGAAGAGCCTGCAGATCCCTCCTGGAAGGGAGGTCGGGGTCACCTTGGGGGCTTGGTTTGGGCACCTCATGTAGTCTCGTCAGGACGAGGGACATGGGGGTGGGGGTAGGGGCAGCAGCCTGTGCCCCCAGGCCCCCTCCGCCCCGTTACGATACCCAGACATGGTGACAGTGCAAGGATGTGTCACACTGGGGTGCCCACCCGCACTCCGTACCTCACTTGCAGCTCCTGTGGTCCCCGCCGGGCTCTGTACCCCAGGTGTGTCATCTGCTGAGGCTGAAAGCACCTGCCTGAAGAGACAGGGTCTGCAGGGCCTGTGTCCCCACTGCCACTTCGGCACTCACCTGCCGCCTGCCCTGCAAACCCCGCCCAGCAAGCCAGGCACGGGGCCAGCTGAGCAGCCCGGCAAAGCCGGCCCCCAACCTCACCTGCACGAGAACCACTCCTCAGAAGGAGCTCTGAGGTCACTCAACTCAAGGAAAAGCAAACCACGAGGATCCACGTATCCCCCCCATCAGGAAACCGCAGCAGGAGCTGGGTGGGCTCCTCTGTGGCCACACGCCCGCGGCGGCCACGAAGCTGCGTCCTGGGAGCTCACGCCAGGAAACTCGGGCTCCCCTGGAGCCACGCTGCCTCGGGGAACCCTAGGGACTCTCTGCTAGGAGCTTTCTAGACCTCCCGGGTGGGTCACAGCACAGGACGCCCCCTGTGAGGGGCCGACGTCACTCCTCTGCTTCTTATTCCCAAGAGCTGCGTCTGCCCTGGGCCTCTCGGGGTGCAGGTGGCACATCTGGTCTGGGGCCCACGGGCGCCCACACCCTGGAGCTGCTGCCCTGCCACCACCCCCCGACACTCACTGGCTTGGTGATGAGTCCTCTGCGGCTGCAGGCCTGGCTGGCCTGCTCTGGGGGTGCTCCGGGGGCCAGGCCTCTCCGTCACCTCCACATGGGTTAAAGTCTGGGTCATCCAGCTTGTCCCCATCCAGGCTGCCAGACCTTCGTGGAGGGGGATCAGGACCCTCGCCCGCAGCCATGGTGGCCTTTTCCTGCCTCATCTCTGGTCTCCTTGAGGGAGGTTTGAGACCTGGGGCCGTCCCTCGTTTCCTCAGTGGAGGTGGCTTTTTGCTGGTGGCATCATCAGGGAAGTCAAATTCTAGCCTCACAGGCCTGCTTCTCAAAGAGCTGGCCTCCTGGACCCTGCCCTCCTCACTCTGAGAACTGGGGGCTGGGGCCCCTCCAGCCTCCACACGGCCGACCAGGGCAGTGGCCTCGGGGCCCACAGGGCCCTCGTCAGGCAGGTCTGTGTGGGGCTCCCCTGCGTGGGCTCCTCCGGGGAGGGTACCGGGAGCTGGAGCAGCCCCCACGCATGAAGCAGGAACCGCATCCGGGTTTTCTCCTGGGAGGCTACATGGGTCCTCTGCTCTGTCTGTGTCTTGGGACACCATCCCGGGAGGGTGTTCTAGAATCTTGGGTGTGGATGCAACACTTTCCTCTGAGGAACGAGAATGGACATGCTCCTCCCAGGCTTGTTCAGGGCTGCTTGACACTCGTCCTGAAGATGCCACTTGGTTTTCAACACTTTCTGGCATTTGAGGGAAGCTTGAGGGACCCAGACCGGCACAGGCGGGCCCACTGGGAAGCCTGTCTTCAGACGCTGGTCTCACGAACCCTGGAGGAAGGTTGGCCCCCTCCACTGCTGGCTTCTGCAGAATTCCATTAGTTGTCCTGGTCTCTGTTTCCTGGGTAAACTGTTGGCTTTTAGAAACAGACTTAGTTAACACAAATGAACCAGTTAGGTTTTCATTTAGATTTCAGTCTGCGTGAAAACATTAGTTAAAGAAAGAAAAAAAAACATACAATCATACAATCAACCTTCCTAGGTTAACTTTCCAAGCGCAGTCTGCTGGCGGCCACCTGGAGACCCAGGGTTCCAAGGCAGATGGCGTGGAAACGCCAAAGGCAAAGGATCAAAGGCCAGGCTCCCCTGTCAGCTGGGGCCTAGCAGCTACGTGGTCAAGGACAGTCTGGGCACAGGAGGGTCAGGCTCCTCACTGGAGAGCAAGAAAGATGAGGTCCAGGACACTGCCTTCAGGCCTGCCCACCCTGGGTCCTCCTGGGCCTCCCGCGCCTCCCCTCTGTGGCCCTGGAGCAGCCCGGAGGCAGAGTCCCAACAGCTGGGTTTCCCTTCCCTTGTGGGGCTGTTACAGAAGAACGGTATTTGATCACTCTAATCTCATTAGCTGAATTTCAAAATGAAGAGTAAAAAATCTAAAGTTGGAAAGCAGCAAGGAAAGGGGAGGAGGGATTCAGGAGGAGGAGGAGGGAACGTGGCCCGAGCACATTTCACTCGAGTTAGGTGACGGGGACATTAGCGATGTTTTGCTTTTACATGTTTCTCTGAAACCTGTTTAAAAGAAAAAGCAAGGTCTAAAACAGTTTAAGTCAGCAAAAGTCAGGACCAAATGCGCCAGCGAGGCCCCTTCTCACCCAGACGCAGAGGGTCCCGGGCCTGCCCACTTGGTCCGTCCTAATCTGGGGGCAGCGGACTCATCTCCAGACTGAGGCTGGAAAAGCCTCGGCTTTGCTTAGGCTACCAGTACATCCAGTAAAACGCCTCGGCCAGGGCAGGCTGCGAAGAAGCTGCTCTTGATTAAAGTCAGGTGCTTAAAACCTGGTCCGTCAGACGCCACTGGCACTCTGACTAGATTAACAGTTTCTCTGCCTTCAGAGGTAAGATCTGTCTGTGAGCTTTCTCCAGGGCTGGATGTGGAGAACATGAGGCTGACTTGTGAGGAGGGAGATCCCAGTGGAATGCTATAAAAGCAGCAAACCACAGAGCAGCCCCAGGAGAGGAGGCCAGGACATTTCACGAAGCCAGGGAAGCAGAAACTACGGCCAGTTTGTTGGCAAGGATGCAGCAAAGGTGCGGAACGCACATTTAAACTCACGCTGCTTCGGGACTCACTCTTCAGGAACAAATGACTTCTGAGTACTCTGGCCATGCACGACACAAACCCAGAGCAGAGACCAGCTGGATGTGACAAACAAGACAGACTCTTCCTGCCACGTCCGTCAGAGAGGTCACAGCTGCAATACATCAGACGGCACCGACACTTACTTCTCCTTCTGGGTCCAGACTTGGTGAGAGTTTTCTAATCCAGGGGTGTCGCCCAGAGCTAAAAAAACTTCAAGTTTGCTGCTCATGCTGGGACTTAAAATCCTGTGTGTCTGCGGATCCCGCAGAGGTGTCTGAAAAGTCACCTGTTGGGGAGGGAGGAGGGCTCCTAGTCAGTAACTCACATCTCCAAGCACCATGCCCTGGCAGCGCAGTAAGTCCCCGGGAAAGCAGGTCCCAGGATGACTGCACCTGTGACACTTGGTAGATTTAGATCTATACAGGGGGAGACATGCTCACCTTCACTGCTTTGGCTGTGCTCTTGGGTGGCACATTTTCTTTCTGTGACAAACGGAGTACAGGCAACCTTCCGGTAACTTCCAGTGGTGAAAACAGGAAGTCATAGTTCTCTGTGCTTTTGTCATCAGTGACATTCTCGTCACTGAAGATGTGCAGACTCATTCTGGAAAAACAAACAGTTTTGTGTCAGCAGCAGGGCATGTTGTCTGGACGCATGTATGTGGAAAGGACAGGGCTGACCCCATGGTGCTGAGTGAGGACATCCCCCTGCCTGCACAGGTGGGTCACACCTTAGGCAGCATGTCCTCTGCCAGGCAGTCCCCTCCCTGCTTTGGGGGGAGCTGCCACCTCCCAGGTGCAAGAGCTAAAGGGGTCCCCAGCCCTCAGGGCAAGGAGGGAAAACCATGTCGACGAAATAACTTGAACTTTGTGGGTAAAGGCTGGGAGACAGGTAAGGGCTGATCTGTGATGACACTGGATGAGGCATAGGAATCTTCGTCTCCCTGCAGGCCTCGGTGTCAGAGTTGGAGTGGGCTACCAAACTGGTGGAGGATGGGAGAGCAGACAGCACGGCAGCCTGCACTCTGCCTATGGGGCCAGGAAATGGGGACCAGACAAGGTGCTGGGAGGGTGGAGGCCCAGAGGAGGAGCCAGAGAAGGTAACAAGCAGCAGGGTGCAGAATCGTTTGCAGGGAGTCAAGTGGCTTCTACATCAGAGTCTGCAGAGTAGAAACACACCAGGGGCCTCCAGCTGGGCCCAGAAGTTTCTAGAGCAGTCCCACTTCTTCCCAAAGTCTTTGTCATGGTGACTGACGTGGCCTCCTGAGTCCAGGAGTCACCAGAGAACTGGGCGTTGACCTGCCCAAGGGGGCACCACAGATACTTGCTAGTAGTGGGGGCCCTGGGGACTGCGGTTTAAAGAGGCTGGGTGGCTGGGGCAGAGGGAGTAGGTAGGGGTGGCCTTGGAAGAGGTGAGGTTGGGGTGGGAGGTCAGGGTGACCAGCCCCCTTGAAGGGTGAGGCCAGGGGCGGGGGCGCTGGTGTGGAGGACCGGGAGGGGCAGGAGGGAAGTGGGGAGTCAGAGGCTCTTGCATCTGGCCAGGGGTTGGGTGGTCAGCCCTGCTTTGCCAACAGGCCCACACACTGTGTGTGGAGGCAAGAAAAAGAAGGGTAAGTCAAGAGTAACTACTAGTTTTGGCCTGAACAGCTGGGTAAAACGAGGGGGACATAAGAGGGAGACAGACTTGGAGGCAAACTCCCTCTGCCGGAGAAGGTGGGAGAACAATGATGGCAGCCTCTATGGGTCTGGCTTCTACTGAGGAGGGGGCCGCGAAGGCGGCTCCAGAGCGAGGAGGGGCCGGGTCAGGAGGGCAGGAAGACTGGCGGCCCCAGAGAGCGGGTCTTGCGGGATCAGCGGTGCGGGAGCGCAGAGCCCAGGTTTCTGCGGCAGGTGCGGCAGGAATCGGCGATGGCTCACAGGTGGGGCTACGCCCAGAGGGTACGGACAGCAAGCCGGAGAGTATTCGGCGGCGGAGACGTGTCTTTGCAGGTCACAGCCACGGGTGGTTTGCGGCTGGACGAGGTCACCGGGGTGGGGGGGAGGGCGGCGCAGCGGGCCCGGGCTGTTCTGTCTTTGAGGGCGGCAGAGGGACCACCAGGCGTCTCGGAGGCAAAGGGTGGGAGGCCGCCGGCTCCGCTCGCGACTGTGGGAAGAGGCGTCGCGGGGGGAGTGCTTCCCGGGGGGAGGGGGCCACGACCAGGGTGGTCGCCACCACGGCAGACAGAGGCCTGGGGCCAGAGGAGGCGAGGCCGGAACCCCGAGCCCGGACCCCGCTGCCGCCTTACCTGTCGGCCGCCGCGCGGAAACAAGAGAGCGGGAGGCGTCGAGTCCGGGAGCCCCTCTCCCCGCCGCCGATTCAAATACCGACGGTTGGCGCGCGCGGCCAATCGGCGTGCGGCTGGGGCGAGACGCACGGAATCGGCGGCCAATGGGAGGCCATGGCTGACGCCGCGCCCATAAGGGGTTCCGCTTCCGGCGCTAGCGGTACGCTGGGCGTGGCGGGCGCTGGAATTCTCGGTAACTGCGGCTCCCACAGCAGGCGATGGGGAAAGGTTGCTCGTGGGCGGGCTGACCGCGCGGACCGCCGTCGCCCAGGAATCTCGAGCTCTGCTGCGGGCGCCCCTAGGCTGCGCGGAAAGGCCAGGGCCCGAGAACCAGTCGCCCGTGTCTCAGTTTCCCCAGCTGTGAAATGGGACCAGGTGCAGCGCCGCCCCCAGGGCAGGTCGTGAGAACCCAAACCCTCGCGAGGACTATCGCGGCGCTCACGACTTCTGCCGGGTGTCGGGCACGGGAACTCCATTTCCCAAAGTGCCCCGCGGGACCCTAGCTCCCAGAGCGCCGCGCGAGTGGTCTGAGAGTGGGGACTCCACTTCCCAGAGTGCCCCGCGCTGCCCGGCGCTTACCGGACCCGGACGCTGGGGCCTGCTCCGGGCGTCCGGGCAGCGGGTTTCGCCCGGAAGGCGGGTTTCTCCCGGACGGCTTCCCGGTGGGGACGGCGGCGCGATGGACAGCCCCGAGGTTACGTTCACGCTGGCCTACCTGGTATTTGCCGTGTGCTTCGTGTTCACTCCCACCGAGTTCCACTCGGCCGGGCTCACGGTGCAGAACCTGCTGTCGGGCTGGCTGGGCAGCGAGGACGCTGCCTTCGTGCCCTACCACCTGCGCCGCACGGCCGCCACGCTGCTGTGCCACTCGCTGCTGCCGCTCGGTGAGCTCGGTGGGCGGGGCGGCGCTCGAGGCCCAGCTCCGGGACCTCAGAGCGAGAAGAGACCGGGGAGGGCGTCCGGGTCAGAGCCTAGGCTGTGAGCTCGTGTGCTCCCAGGAGGGAAGTGGCGGCAGCTGGCCTCTTGCAGGCGGCAGAAAGGCAGGCTCAGGACCCTGCGCGAGGGGATGCTTCACTCACTGGGGCAAGTTGTGAGCTATCGCATGGGGGGCAGCTCCCTGTAGAAGAACGTGAGTTAACTGATGCCAGCATTGGTGGCCTGCCCCAGTCCTTGGAAGGAGGATGCGGGAAGGACAGACAAAGAGCATGACGGCAGGAGGAAGTGTCACGGGTGCAGAGACCCGGGAAGGTGTGTATGTGGCCAGGACGCTCAGATGTTGCCAGGGGCTGTGCTGGGTAGTGACTCAGGTGTAGCCGGTCTCTTTGAGAGGCTGGCTTGAGGCCAGGGGGCTGCCTGCCTCATGGGGATGGAGGGCAGAGAAGAGCCCAGGCCAGGACAGAGACAGCCTGCGTGGTGAGCTCGCTCCACCTAGCTCCCCTGTGAGGCAGGGAAACCCCGCAGGAGGAAAGTGTGGTTCAGAGTTTGGGTTCTCCTGAGGGTTGTGGATTGGGTTTCTGCCCCGGGAACTAAGGATTTCCGAAGCTTCTGGAACCTCTTGACTGCATGCCTCCCACCAGCCTGAGGGGGGCTGGGCAGGACAGGGAAACTGGGAAGTGAGCCAAGTGACTTCCCTGGGCCACACGAGGACGAAATGGTGGAGCCTGGCCTTAGAGTCAGACAAGGAGTTTTTCTTTTCTTAATTTGTTTTGCAACAGCTTTGAAACTTCATAGACCTGTTATCTATTGCTATGGGGCGAGAGAAATTGTATTGGCTTGATCAAAAGTGCTTGCTATTGTTTTTGCAACTTCAAGCCTGTGCTGCGGGTTATTGTCTACCTCGTTATTGACATGCAAATTGGCCCCATCTGGCCAGCAGGGTCCTGGAGCTGGCTCCCCTGATGTCCTTGTGACATGCCTGTGTCATACCTTGCTCACTGGCACACGATGTTCCGGTTCTGGGATGGCCATGCCCTTTTCTGCCTCCTCAAGAGTGGCTGGCATCCAGAGGCCTGGATCTGGCCCCAGGAGGGCCAGTGGGCAACTCTGCATTGGGTGACATGAGAGCCTTGTATTTTTGCTTTTGTAGGTTTTCCCCAGTACGCATGTGTTATTTGTATGGAACTGAAGTAGTAAGATAAAAATGTTTTCTGCTGACAGGGTAAGGGCTGAGTTGGACCAGTTGTGGAGGCGGGTGAGGCTCACCTGCCCTAGGGTACCATGGCCTTGCCCTGGCCCAAGGATGGAGACAAAAGGAAGCCCCCCCGCCCCAACAGGGATAGCCCTGTGGACCTCAGTGGGAACCTCCTGGAGAGGATGACAGCCTAGCAGCCCCCACCCCTGCTGAGGCTTGCTCTGTCCCTTGTAGGCTACTACGTGGGCATGTGCTTCGCAGCCTCAGAAAAGCGGCTCTACTTTCCCAGCCAGGCCCCGGAGATCTGGCGGGTCTTCCTCCTGCTGGCGGTGCTGCTGCCCACCATTGCCTGCACCCTTATCTACTACTGGTCCCGGGACCAGTGGGCCCACCACCCCCTGGCCCGCACCCTGGCCCTCTATGCCCTCCCACAGTCAGGCTGGCGAGCTGTCGCTTCCTCCGTGAACACTGAGTTCCGGAGGATTGACAAATTTGCTACGGGGGCTCCGGGTGCCCGGGTGATTGTGACGGACACATGGGTGATGAAGGTGACCACGTACCGTGTGCACGTGGCCCAGCAGCAGGATGTGCACCTGACTGTGACGGAATCCCAGCAGCATGACCTCTCGCCAGACTCGAATCTACCTGTGCAGCTGCTTACCATCCGCGTAGCCAGCGCCAGCCCTGCTGTGCAGGCCTTCGACATCCGGTAGGCTTGCCCACGCCTGGCCAGCACCCAAGATCTGGTGTTTGTCTTACTCAGGAGGCGATGGTGGGTGGGATTTGGTCCCTCCAGTGTGCCCCTCCCTCAGGGCGGCACTGCCCACCCTAGGCCGCCTTGCTGGACCCCTGTCTTCTCAGGTACTCTCAGCTCCCTCCTTCACTTCTCATCTGAGCTGCCTTCTGCAGCTTCTTAGGGGGAGCCCCACAGGGATGTTTGGGGGTCACTGTACCGGACACAGGCTTGGGCTGGAGCCGAGGTCCTCCTGTCTAGTTCAGGCTGTGGCCGGCCTGCTGTGCTCCTCCTGGGACATGCCTTGGGCCTGAATCTACTGAGGGCCAGGCACTCCATGTCTTAGCTACCATCCTTCAACCTTGCTGTGTCCTGGGAGGGCGGTGGTCAGCTGGGCAGCACTGGGTCTGTGGGCTCGGTGCTCTGGCCATTTTTGCTAGCTGGTCTTCATCTGGCAGCCAGGCTGTGCCTGAGTCTCCATGTTCCGTGTGGTCATGGGTGCCCCGCTCACTGTGGCACAGACTTGGCCTCCCTGCCACTGCCCCAGGGTCCTTGCCAGCCTGCCTGGGAATGATGGCCCTGCCCTGCAGAGGCCTCAGTCCAGTGGTCCAGCCCAGCAGCAACCACCTCGTGCAGGCTGAACTCCACGGAGTACGGTGAGCTGTGTGAGAAACTCCGGGCACCCATCCGCAGCGCGGCCAACGTTGTCATCCACCAGAGCCTGGGCGACCTGTTCCTGGAGACATTTGCCTCCCTGGTGGAGGTCAACCCGGCCTACTCAGTCCCCAGCAGCCAGGTGGGGGCCTGGGTGGGTGATGGATTCCCACATCTCCTGGGGTGGGCGGCTCTATAGGCCGGGGCCCCTGTGACCACCTTGGCCTGCTGCAGGACCTGGAGGCGTGCATCGGCTGCATGCAGACACGTGCCAGCGTGAAGCTGGTGAAGACCTGCCAGGAGGCGGCGGAGGGCGAATGCCAACAGTGCTACTGCCGCCCCATGTGGTGTCTCACCTGCATGGGCAAGTGGTTCGCCAGCCGCCAGGATCCGCAGCGCCCGGACACCTGGCTGGCCAGCCGAGTGCCCTGCCCCACCTGCCGTGCGCGCTTCTGCATCTTGGATGTGTGCGCTGTGCGCTAAGCCTGTCGGCCTTTCTGGGGACACCACAGGCTCTCTTTTCCCAGCGTAGCAACTCACCTGCTCCCCGAAGCTGCAGAGGGACCAGGGCTTTTGTTTTAAAAAGAAGTTTCCTGCTGCAGTTCTGTCTGCGGCAGTGGGACTGGTCTTCACTGCCTCTGCCTCCACTCTCCGTTCCTCTGGGTAGGGGAAGGTGCTGGACACAGGACGTGCTATCGGTTCCATCTCCAGAGCC